CGGGCCTTGTGCTGGCTTCCAGCCCCTGCTGGCTCCAGCTGTCTGGCCCCCGTCGTCTTGGAACTGACAACCACGTGGGACTTCACTTACAGAGATCTGAACCCATCAGCGCAGAGGATGGGATGCTGTCTTCCTCCATCTACTCTCCTCCAAATAAAGCAGCCCCGTGCTTTGTGGGGGAAGAATCAGATCACTGAAAGAAACAAGTTCAACAGAGGGGATCTGCACCACCAATGACAGAAGTCATGTTACAGGCACGTCCTGGGTCAGGAGACCGTCTGGCTGCTCCAGCATTGCCTTGGCCTCAGGTGACTGGAGTGAGGACCCGAGGTCATGCAGGCCATCCTGAGTGTTAGAAACGTTTTTGATTATTGGCTATAAGACAGGCCATGGACGCAGGTCTGTTAGAAACAGCTGCTTTGTCACGGGGCTAAAGTGCTATGTGAAGGCTCTGGCCTGGTCGCCAGAGTATGGCCTTCCAGAATTCCCCATGAGCCGGCCCTGCCCCACCTGACCCAGGGACCTAGGCCCTGGGTCCAGATGCCTACAAACATCCTGTCCTGTCTGGAAGCCAGGAATGGCAGCCCTGCAGGGACATCTGCCCACCCCAGAGAGCTGGAGGGGAGTGGACCAGTGAGACCTCGGGGCTCAGGCTCCTGTGTGTCCACCTGTGTGTCCTGCGTCTGCACGTGGGAGTCCCCGGGACCCGTGGGGGGCTCGGGTGGGGAGGACAGGCAGCAGGTGTGGCCCAGAGTCTTGGCCTTTCCTGATTCCAAGGGCAGCATCTCTGGAATTTCTCCTGCTTCCTGCGCTTTTCCATGGCTCCTCGTGCGTCACGTACGTTTTGCTGAATTTTCACAGCTGCCTGGTGCAGCCACAAAGGCCATTGCCGTTGTCCTATTTTACTGTGAAAAATGGGACCCAGAGATGTCGAGAGGCTTGGCAGGGATGCAAGGACGGAGCTGGATGGGGCAGTGGTGCAGAGGGCTCAGCTTCCCTGCCTCCCGCCCACCCCAGGCCACACTGCTGAGCCCTCGGAAGACCGACCTTACTGGTGTTAAGCATGGAGGGGTGACCTGTGGGCCAAGAAGGAAGCAGCCAGAGATGAATGGTGCTTCCTGACTCACCCCAAACTTGCAGAGCACTCTGTCCCCAGCTTGGTGCTTGGAGACAGTGGCGACGGCTGTTGGAGTTTGTCCGGTTTTGGTTTTTGCTTTACGGAAGGAAAGTGCCAAAAAAAGGGATTTGTACCAGGTGATAAGATTCGCAAGCAGGTGCCTTCAACCGTCCTCAGTGCTAGAGAGTGTGAGGGACTCAGGCCCCATGCCCTGCCGAACCGAGCAGGAGTTGGACGCATCTCTGAATTCGTTGTTGGCCCAGAACCTGGACATTGACACCCACTTCCACCAAGTCTGGCTCCGTGTTGGCCTGAGGCTTGGGACCCCTAAGCTGGGAGGCAGAGAGTTCCAGAGGCACCCGCGAGGGCTGGAGGCCTGGCCTTTGGAGCTGATACCCCGAGAAAACCCAGCCGGGGGAAGAGGCCCACGGCGTTGCTGCTGACTTCCCCTGGGTTTGGGGGCAGCACCCATGACCCACCCGGGCTTTAGGTCCCCTTTCTGATGAGAGGCTGATGGTGAATGGCAGTTTTGCAGCTTGTGGTTTGCAGAAGGGCCCATCTGGGAAGCTCCACTTGGAGGCAGTCCCCCTGGGGTGGGGACCCCTGCCTCAATCCCCCTACCTCCTCCCTCTGTTCTCCCTCCTCCCCGTCCCTATCACCTCCTGACCCCAGGGGCCCCAGCCGCCCCTGGACAACTCCTCTCCGACACCTACTTTCTGGCAGGAGGACAATAAACACAGACCCCCTGCCCGGAAGTGACCACGTCCTCCCCAAATTCGTAAGTTGAAATCTTACCCCCGGTGCGGTGGTGTTAGGAGGGGGCACGGTGGGGAGGTAATTAGGGTTAGATGAGGTCATGAAGGTGGGACTCCCGTGAAGCAGTTAGTGCCCTTAGAAGAAGAGAGAGTACCCTCTCTGCCCCCGGGGACTAGGAACCAGGAGGAGAGCCTTCACCAGGAACCGATTGGCTGGCACCTCCATCTTGGACTCCCAGCCTCCAGAACTGGGAGAAATACATTCCCGTTGGTTAAGCCGCCAGCCTGTTGTATATTGTTCTGGAAGCCCGAGCAGACACCACCCAAGGGAGAGAAGCAGAGGCTGCTGGCTCAGAGCCGGCGCGGGCTCTGCCGCCGTCGGGCGCGCTCGGTGGGGACGCAGAGGCAGGCACGGGGTGGGACAGCCTCACGGTGGGAAAGGGGGTCAGGGGCGCCCCGCCGGGGGGCGTGAGCGCGGGGACGCCGGACGGCTAACTGGGAGCAGGATCCTACAGGACTGGTCGAGGGAGTGGATCTGGCTTTCCCGTTGGCCCTCAGCTGGAGGCGGGGCTGGGGGGTGCGCAGCTGGCCTTTATCGATCAAATCTGGCCGTTTGGGGCTGATGGCTGCGTGTTGTGGGTCGGAGTTCTGCATTTATAGATGATCTGGACATTCCTGTCTGCATATCCAGTCTCTCACCAGGCTTCCCGGGCTCTCCTGTGATTATCTTAAGAGCTCACATGGTGTGCTAATGGAGGGGGCGCCAAGGGAGTCTCTGAAATGCCCCTCTAGTCTCTCTGTGACACTGGGGTTTTAACAGGGGTTTCCAGAAGGCAATCAGCCCATCACGAAATCATTCTGGGACTGCTAGGTCAGGCGGGAGAGGGAGGGGTGTACACGTTTTCAGGCTGGTGGGGAGAAGGCCCCCCACACGCACACCTCTGAGAATGTGAGAGCCCATGTCCTAGGAGATGCCAAAGAGGCATCCCCAACACATGGAGGTTTTTCTAGAGTTTTCTAGTGGGCCATGTTACAGTCTCAACTGAGAGCCAATTTTGTTCTTTGTGTTAGGGAATATCTCTGTCTTCACCCTAAAACCTGAAAGAGACAACTCAAATTCATTTTCTCCGGTTGACTCAGGACTTCGATCTATTGGGACTTCGATCTATTTGGTCGGTCCTATCCTTCTTGCTATTGATACCCTGCTGCCACGGATCTGGTTTTCATTTGCTGCACACCAGGAGGCTTTTAGGGATGTGCGTCCGTCTTGGGTAGGGCTCAATAAGTACTTTAAAAGACATCAAGCTTTGCACACGTTCTAAGGAGGGGTGGTGGAGGATAAGCAAGAAAAGAGCTATCCGAGTGGTAAAATAATGTTTTATTCCATGGATGAACAAATGCTACCATGCCACATTCTCACGTCCCCCCTGCCAGATCTCGTGGCCAAAGCTGGCTTCCCCTGTCAGGCCTCACTGGCTTTGCAGTCGGTCAAGCCCACTGACATAGCGAAAACACGGTCACGTGGCATTCAGAGTGGGTCCTGCCGCTCACATGCTGGTCCTTTTCACACATGGTAACGTCTCGCCCGAACGAATCTGTGATGGAGACCTTCCAGCCGCGCTAACCGCAACGAACATCCAAAACTCACGTGGATGAAACCCAAACCCCCAAATGCCAAAAAGCTACACGGACAAATCTTCTCTGCTGATGGGACATCGAGGACCGCCCCCCCCCCCCCCCGGCAGGACCGGAAGCTGGAGACGTCAGTATTGACATTCAGGTTGTCGACAAGCTCCAAAGGAAACAGCAGTGATGGATAGGTTTCTAACTAGCACTTGTGGGGAGTGCAGGTCAGCCACCGAGTGTCGGCATGCAGACGACACGGTGAAAGCCGGTACAGGGGCAGCGCCGATCCGGTCTTTATGCACAACACAACGGAATATACACTGGGGTGCTGGCTGTACATTCGGTCAGGGGACCTCTTACACGTTGACAGGCTGCCTGCACGTGGTGCTGAGGGCACTGAGCCGTCCCCAGGGCGGGAGGCGGCCGCACACACCCACGCGTCCCCAGAGGACGCCTGTCCCCTGCACATGCGACAGACCCAGGGGTGGAGTCAACCCTTTGTCTTTTTTTTTTTTTTTTTTTTAACCAAATGCCATCTGAAAAGCCTCAACAACTCATCAAGGGGGGAAAGGATGGGCTTCAAGACCTACGGAGATCGTGTGAATCTAAGCCAAATCCTAATGCAACTTTGGGGGAAAGAAGTTTTATTGATGACTTTTTTTTTTTTAGTGAATGGTATTGGATGTCTTTTGCCCCCCTCAGTTTTTTGAAATTTCTCCACGAAGTCTCAAGACAATCTTGAGGAGAGAGCAGTTAGTTAGTTCTGATCTGTTTCTTTATCCAAACGAGTGCAAAGCCTACACATTGACTGAAGAACACAAAGCAAAACAAAGCCAAAAAAAAAAAAAAAGGAAGAAAGAAAGAAGAAAGGAAGAAAGCAAGCACAGCAAAACAACCCCATGACCAGAGACAGTGTCAGGTAAAAACCATAGAAAAATACGAATTAATTCCATAAGGTTAACCATTAGCATTAGCTACAGTAATACTCTGTGCAGCCCCTTAAAATGCCGAATCTCCTAATTACAGAAAGGAGCAAAAGCCAATCTATGGACAAGTACTGTTACAATAATTGTGCTATAGTTGTCTCCATGGCGCGGTTCTGTCGGACAGGATGGGCGCTGCTGCTGCGGGCGCGGCTCGCGAGCGAGGGGGGGGCCTTGGCGCTGCTGCGGGGCAGCTGGGACACAAGGGCCAGTCTCTTCGCTGCGTCCTCTGCTCTGTTCCTTGGGGAGGGGCCGTGGGCTGCACCAGTCACTCTGGGGCCGGGAGGAGGCGAGGCCGCGGCGGCTCCAGGTGCCTGGGAGCCCTGGTGAGCGATGACGCGTCTCGGCCTGGGAAGGAGCCGGTTTCCGAAGCAAAACCGCCTTCGGGACGTAAGACACACATGCTATGGGAAGTCCCACTTCTTGCCCCCGCCCCCACCTCTGCGGGGGAGGGAGGCGGGTCCCGGCTGCGCGCTGTCCTAGGAGGGCCCCCCCGTGGCGCTCAGGGCCGGCGCCGGCTCAGTCCTCCTCCTCCTCCTCTTTGGCTGTGGCCGTGGGCAGCCTGTCCCGAACGCGGAAGCACTCCACAAAGAAGCTGATGATGGATCGGTACAGGTGCTGGTGCAGGGAGGCACTGTGAAAGTAATGGCTTTCGTCCGGGTAGATCTGCGGGGAAGCCAGGGAGACGTTACTCGCCAGCAGCGGAACCCGGGGGGGGGCCTGGGGACCCTCGTGAGACTCGGACCCAGCACAGCCCGGACACCACGCACCCACAGCTCCGTTCCAGCCTGCAAAACGGACCTCCCTAAACCACCCTGGGGCAGGCGTCAGCCCGTCCTTTGCTGGGAGGCCCTGCCGGGCACGGTGGGCTTGCAGGGCGTGGGCTGACTCAACTAGATCACATTCGGTTCAACAGACTGTAGAGAGGCTCTGGCCCAGGTCTCCCGGGACCAGGACCCAAAGACATGGGAAGAAGTCTGTGCTGTTTCTACAACCCTCGCCGGCGTCTGGCTCACCCTGGGACCGTGGGCAGGTAACTTTCCCGAGCCTCAGTTTCCAGTTGTGCCAAGTGGACATGATCATCGTAATAGAACCCAGCTCATAAAGTTCTGTGAGGATTCAACGATAGACTCCCTGTGAAGTGTTCAGAGTTAGCCGAGGACACAGGGACTGGATGTAATGACGGCCCCCACCCCCAGGGGTGCTGCGCCACTTCCACACAACGGTACCTGTTTGGGCAGGGACTCAAAGCCAAGTCTAAGGGACCTGGAAGCCCACGTTGTTTCCATGATGCCAGGCTGCCCCCAGCATCTGGAATCCTGTCTTCCTCTATGTCTTTGGAGGATGGTGTTCACCTTTATTTTAGAGTATTTATTCATGACGGAATGGAGCTGTTATGTCTATAGTACAAGAGGACGCAAGGTAGGATGTACGCCTCTCCCTCTCCAGGTCCCCAGTCCCTATGCCCTTCCCTGGACTTGATCACTGTTACAAATTCACTGAGTATCTATGCAGACATTTGCTGCGCCTGCAGGCATGGCAGTGGGCTGGGGTCCCTTTATTGTCTCAAGTGTGGTCTACAATGCAGCTTGCTCAAAATCTTGCTGGTTTAGCTTGGTCTGCACCTTGGGGAGTGATCCACATTAGCACGTGGAGATTTACCTTTTAACCTGCCACGGCTGCATTATGTGTCTAGAATGTATTTAACAATACCATGGCAACTATCAGCTTTACTATGATCTGAGCACTTTCAGAAGCAAGCTCAAAGGTTAACATTAACCAAGTCCTTCCTTCCCCATTCATCAACACTCAGTCCAAATCCCCTCCCTGCAGGAAGCTCCCCCTGATTGGCCCAGCCCACATGTGACCCTCCAAGACGGCGATGCGGGAAGGCCAGGAGCTCAGGACAGAAGGCAGGCAGCAATCCGTGCCGGGGCTGGCGCTATCTGAGGGACAGGTGCCTAGTGGAGGAAATCTCCCATTTATCTCTAAACCTGAAAAGACCATCAGGGTCATGCGTGTTTTGCCAAAGGAACCCATGGTCAGGAAGGAAACAAGATGTTTCTAGAAGCGACACTGTGCCTCGCTGGAAGGAGCCCAGACTTGAGCTGCTGGGTTAGTACCTGACACCAGTGAAAACAAGGCTGTGAGTTTGTTTTGTGGGAAGGGTAGCCCTCTAACTGCTGCTCAGCCACACATGATTCTGGAACATTCTGCCAGAATTTAGTAAATGTGGGGTGCTGTCCGGAGGGAGGCTAGTGGAGAAGGCTTGGGACCTGCACATGTAAAGCCCCCGAACTCCCCCAGAATGCTGCTCTCATCAACACCGGGACAACAGCCCCAGCCTCACCCGCAGGGACACCGCCAGCCTGACTGTGGCGGTGCGGTGTCTGTCTCGGCCTTGCTCACTGCCCGGAGATGCAGGGCGGTGGAGCTCTAAAGGGGTTTGCACATGGCTCGAGTGCAGAACCAAGAGATCACCATCAATTACTAGAGAAAATAACCATGTGCTAATTCGTCTGGCCCGATGCGCCCCTGCCCGCCTCTGACAACCGTAACACAGGTGTGTCTGCAGAAATGGGATGAACTGAATACCCGTCAGTTCTTTTTCCACGGAAAGGATGTCTCTCTCCAAGTGTGGAGCCGAGATATGCAGATACTCTACCTGTAAGCTGTAATTAGCCTTCCCCTTAATTAGTTGTGTAACGAGTTCCGCCGTGTGCTGGAAATGGATTTTTTCTGTGAAGAAAAAAAAAAAAAAAGAGGAAAAGACCGGTTAAACCCCTAACACCATCAGGGCGATGCTGTGAAGTGACATCCTTGGTCCTTACCATCCGCGGTTGCGTGAATGATCAGAAACTGCTGTTCTTCCAGTGCTGACACGCGGTGTGCCACCTTGGTCATCTGCACATGGGGGGGCAAGCGGACAGAGTTAGTGGGCCTCTAGCCGCTAGTGAGGGGTTCGTACTGGACCCCTGACTGAGAAGGTAGCTGGCGGTCTTGGGGCCAGTCTTGGGAGAATGGGGTGGGGGTGGGCTTTCTGTGTGAGGGACACACACAGCGCATCTCAGCCGCCCTGCAGGGGTGCCCCCGAGGACGAGGAGGAGCTCAGCCTCCCTGCAGGGGTGCCCCCGAGGAGGAGGAAGATCTCAGCCACCCTGCAGGGGTGCCCCCGAGGAGAGGAAGATCTCAGCCGCCCTGCAGGGGTGGAAGAGAAGGGAGCATGGGAACGCGTTCACCCGCGGCAGGTGGCCTCAGAGGGCTCTCATTCCAGCAGGTGCCACCTGGCCCCACGGTCCCACGGTCTGAGCACAGATTCCGGCTCCGAAGCCAGCTCCCCCTCCCCCCGCGGCAGAAGTGTGGCCTCGCTCTGCGGCCGGCCAAGAAACACCCCACGTGACACCTGCACCGAGTTAGTTCAGTGGCTATGACGGAGCAGGTGACATCAGAGGACTTTCTGTCACCCAATCAATGGCTTATTTTCCCAAAGTGGAACCAGCCTTGGGGAAGGGGACCAGCAGTCATCAGTGCCCAATGACTGTGGATTCTGGGACAGACCCTCCATCCATCCAAAGCCTTCCCTAACTCCCCTCCACGCCCCTCGGGTGCCAGAGAGGGAAACCAGACGGACCCGGGAGAGGCCCTGGTCCCCTCAGTTCACAGCGTGGAGGAGGGGCTTCTCAGAGTGAGTTTGGTGGGGGAGGCGGACAGCACAGTGGGCCCAGGGAGGGAGTGTGGGTCCCAGAGTTGGGCCAAGGTCAGAGGGGCGGGACCCATCTCACCCAATTCCCCATTCCGCCAGGAGGCGGGGGTGCCCATACCTACCTCATATGCTCTGTTGTCAAGTCCATGGAGGCCCAAGTACCTCTCGGAAAACGCGGACGCTGGACGCAAGCAGAGGAAGGCAGGGTTACCTGAGGCAAATGGGTGCAGAGCCCCCAGACGCAGGGGGCACCCTTGGCATGGGGCTGGGGGCGGAGCTGTGCACTCATCTGCAGGGCAAACGTTTGTTTCTAAAACACCCCTCAACCTACAGGTCTTTACCCAGGTAATCAGACAGCACCGTAGTAACACTCAAATACGCTAGAGTAGGTGGCTGGGTTTTAAGCAATATAGCGAACCTTAATCAAGTGAAACAGTGCCTCTGAATCCTCAGTAAACAGGATAACAGTACCCCCCAACTTCGTTCCAACATATAGGAAAGACAGCAAATCCCAAAGAGCAGATTTTCATCAGGATTTGATTTTTTTTTTTTTTTTTCTTTTTTAAAGGCTAGGCATGTCCCGTTCTAGCTGAAACCCTGGCTCCGGGTCCAGGTTCTGGGTGAGGAGTTGGTATCTGCCCTGTCAGGAAAGTCAGGATGGAAGGAGCTCCAAAGGCTTCTGCAAGTTGCAGGGACATCCTTAATTAAGGGGAAGAGACAGTGGAGGATTTCCCTGTGTGGGGCACTGTGACCAGCCAAGGTGTAGGATGGTACATTTATGTGCATTCAAATCAGGCAAATTTGAAATAGCATGATTAAAAAAATTAAGGAAGTCTCACTGAATTTAAAAAAGATGAAATATGCTACGTCTTTCCACAGGAAAATTAATTTTAAATTATTAAAATGTTAAATGAGGAGAGTTCTTATAGGACTGTAAGGTGAAGTTTGCATTAGAGCACTTTGTAAACATCAGTGCATCTTTTGTGAGCACTCTGGCTGCAGGAGCCAGGGGGCTGAGGGCTGCTGGACCCTGTGAGGCCCGGGGTGCTGAGCTGGGCCACCGGGGCGGGTGTGGCCAGGGTACTTGTAGGCTTGGCCGACCATCGACAAGAAGCCCTCTCCATTTCCGATCCCAGTAGTCAGTGCTGCTTTGTGCAGCGTAGCTGGGGTTAATAGCCTGGGCTCCCAGGGCCTCCCAGCCTCCACCCGAAAGCGAGTTCTCAAAGTCCACAAGGAATACCTCACCACACATTTAAAAAAAAAAAAGCACGAATGTCACAAAACCATTCACATTGAGAGAAAAGGGGCCGGCTGACCAGGACAACGTAGGGAGCTTCGAATCCCAAAGCTGTGACCAAAGAGCCAGGGCGGTGCCTGACAGAGGTCCGGTTCCCACACCTGGGAGGCCGGCCCCCCCGTCTGGTCCCCACGGCCGCCCATCATGATGCCCCGTCCTGGGCCTCTGAGTCCTGCCCGTTAGGCAAGGTGCTGACCAGGTACTCCCTGCCCCACCAGGAGGAGAGCGGGTGGAGGCAGGGCACAGCTCAGCTGCCAGGTCTGCACCTGATTGCCACCAAGTAGCAGCCCCTCAGCCCCTAAGCCCTCATCACGGAATCCCTGCCCGAACACCCCCAGGCCCCGGATACAGAGCCCGGGCAGTGCCCCGGCCCAGATTCTGGGGGCAGGGGAAACGCGGCCCCAGCAGGACCGCAGCCGGCCCCTTCCTGTCCGCATGCATGTGAGGCTCCTCAGTGGCCGCTACAGCAGGCGGCCCCGAGGCTTCTCTCCAGGTTCCTCATTAGCCGCACGGCCCCTGTGGCCTCCCCTCCAAGGGGGGTGCGCGGAGCAGGGGTGGCAGGCGGGAGCGTGGTGGGAAGGGAGGCATGGGGCCGGGTCTGTGGTGTCAAGACCGTTACCGTAGAGCTTGAAGTCCGTGATCGGAGAGAGAGCAGAGCCACAGGTGAAAACCGGAGCCTGATTTTCACCCTTTGCCGGGAGGATGTAAGTGCTCAGGTACCCGCCATAATCCTGGGAGAGAGAGAAACGGGGTGAGTAGGTGGAGTGTCAGTGATGCCCTCAGGAAACCAGCCTCAGATGTAAGATCAGTGACTCAGCAACCATTTCACAAAGTTTCTGTTAAAAAGTAAACAAGACGAAAGGCAAAGCACTGTCCCAACTAGATACATGGGAGGCACGCCTCCTCTCTTGGGGCCTAGTGTCAGGCGATATGCAGAGGATGCGTGAGGGCAGCCACGGCCGTGGGCTAGGATGTGCTGTGTGCACGTCAGGGTATCATCAAGCCCCTTCCAAGTCAGCCTTTTCCTGCAGTGTGTTTGCTGCCTTCCCATCTCCAGCAAAGCCAAACCACTTAAGGTGATCTTGGGGGAGGGCCAACAAGGAACCTGTGTCAAAGGGCTCAAGGACCGGTCTGCCAGGATGCCTGGCTCAGGGCCTGCAGAGACAGGCGTCCATGTGGGCGCTGGACATGGGCAGTTCCTTCAAGTCCTACACTGCCCTTACCTTGGGGCTGACACGCAAGACCCCTACTTCAACCAGGGCCTTCCAGAGAGAGTACACGTGACACGTTATCTACCACGGGCGCCTTCGAAGCTGCTTGGCTCAGATGTGCTCTGTCTCCCGAAAGCACCGAAGGGGACAGGACACAGATGGGAAACTGTGATGAGCAAACGTGGGAAGGGGCAGGAGCAAAGCCTCAAGGGAACCAGGTATGTTCTCCTGGGGGCTTGGGGGCTGTTAAAGATGTTGTGTGTGTGCTGGGTGTGTGTGTGCATATGTGTGTGTATGGGACTATGTGTGCATGTGTGTGTATGGGAGTGTGTGTGCATGTGTGTGTGAATGAGAGTGTGTGCATGTGTGTGTGCTGGGGTGGGAGGGTCGAGTGTGGAAAGCCATGCACCTGATGGAGACTATGTGTGCAGCCCAGGCTGTGCCAACCTCACTGTGGAATGAACTGTTTAAGACCTATACGTTAGTTACATGATCATTTAATACCGTTCCTTCCATAGAACATAGATAGCTTGTCTTAATGACAGTAAAAGCGTCATTTTGGTTTTTAGTTGATAACTTTCATTGTCAATGGAATCGGTAAGTCCTCAAACGTCATCTGCCACTTGTTTTCAAAAAAGCGTTGACTGACAACACCAAATGCTGGTGAGGATGGGGAGCAACAGGACCCGTCACTCACTGCTGGTGGGGATGCCAAACGGGGCAGCCACTTTAGAGGACGGTGTGGCGATTTCTTACAAAACGAAACATACTCTTTACCATATCATCCAGCAGTCACCCTCCTTGGTATTTACTCAAAGGAGTTGAAGACTTATACGCACACAAAAACCTGTACATGGAGGATCATATGAGCTGTATTTGTAAATGTCCAAACTTGGAAGCAGGTGAGTGTACATGTAAGCGGTGTCCTTGGCATATTATTCAGTGCTGAGCAGTAATGAGCTCTCGAGCCACGAAAAGAACCCTGAATGCATATTACCTGGTGAAAGCAGCCGGTCTGAAAAGGCTACGTGTGTGTTTGAGGAGTGAGCCCTGACCAGAGACAGGCGCAGGCCAAGGGTCCCTGCCTTGGCCCAGAAGTCCACCCTTCCCATGTGGGTGCAGATGGGTGATAAACACTGACACCCAAAGTTACATTTACGAATGATCGCATTAGCTCTGAGCCCCTCATGGGCAGCGAGTGGGTCTCCATGGACTGGAGCCTCTAGGATTCTGCACCCACTCTCTGGTCTGTCCCTGAGACTCAGAGAGAAGCCTCCGGGCCCTCCCCTCCACCGCCTCAACTCGGGAGGTGCCAAGGGGCCTGTGGGAGGGCTCCAGGAGGCTGTCTGGGATCACTACGTCTCAAATGTACACTATCCTCTGAGAATGCTGGGCGTGGAGGTTCCAGAGGCGATGACATAAGAGGTAGTGTTAGGATCACCTGTTGAAGCCTCCACCTGCCGTGAGGTCCCTGTGAGGTGCCTCTGGATGGCCTGTGCTCTGATAGTTCTCTGGGAGGGAGACGGGTCTGTGTCCTCCCATCTGGGCCTCCCTTCCTTGATATCAGGAGGCCACGGATCCAGGATAAGAATGGGGGTGGGGGGTTGGGGGGCCTGTGCCCAGGTGATGCTAGGTGGCCCCCATGGACCTGACCCACAGCCCTGGGCCTTCACCACACGAGCTACAGCCCATGGACATGGGCCACCCTTTGGAGAGTGAACAGCCTCCTCCCCTCCTTCCATGTCGGCAGACCTGGTAAATTAACATGGCCACTGCACGTGGAGATACACAGGAATCAAGACCCCTGCCCACCCTTGTTTCCTGGGGTACGACACCAGGCACTATGGCTTCCATAAAGAAAGGAATTAGGAACCTAATCAAGTGTTCTCACAGGATCTGGCTTCTCTTTCCTTCCACATAATGTAGGAAGAAACTCTGATACATGAGCTGGTCAAATCAGGGCCCCCCTTGCTGGAATCACTCAGCGTCCACCCTCTCGTTTTTAACAAAGTCATTGCTCTCACAGCGTCAGACCAGAGACATTCCGAACAAATCCGATCGGGGCTGGGCGATGGTGCCGGGCAGTGCTCTCGGTCAGGGGCACGGGGTGCTCCGACAAAGCTCGGCGCAGGCTTACCTTCCCAAACACGGCCACACGTGCCTGGTCAATGTATTGCTCCTTCAGCAGCATCCTGCAAGGCCAAAGAAGAGAGGGGCGAGTGAGTGCACACCACGGCTGCACTGTGGCCCAGAGCCGAGCTTCTGGCCGTTCCAAGCACGAAAACCTCCACTTGAAGGAAATACTGGAATTCGGATGTCATTGTTTATTGCTTTTCTTTATTTAGTGCATGGGCAGTATGTCCATGTTGAAAGGCTCAAAGTGCCCTTGCAAGAACTGTCCAGTCTGTCAAACTTGCCGACCGAAAGCCAGGAATGCAAAGTAGCCGAGGCCGTTCTGGAGACCAGGCCCCGCGGGGTGGGGTCCCTGTCCTCTGCTACAATCTGCCCCTCACTTGGACCATGTGACCCCCAACGACCGCAGACTCCGGGAGGGTCGTCCGGGGTCAGCCTGGAGAACAGACCCTGGCTCTGAGCTAAGGGCGCTTGGAGTCAGGCGCTGGGCTCTCACCACACCTGCAAGTGTCCTCTGTCCCCAGCTCCTGGCTGGGGGCCCCTGCCTTGTGCTTCCTGCCTTGGACGCAAGCAGCTCGATGCCCCTGCTGGCACTGCCCGGGTCCTGCCTTGCCCTTGCCAACCTCTTACCACCTTCCCCTAGCATATCCCGTTTATCCAGAAAATGACAGGAATCTTGCCGGTTTCTGGACCCTAATTCAGCAGCGGGAGTCCTGCCACCTGCTGGCAGACGACCGCCTGCTTCCTGGGTCTCTGTGAGTTGCTTCCTTCCACGTGTACGTCCACCACCCCTCCACCCCGCCGCCGCCGGAGCCCCTCCCTGCACAGCCCTGTTCCTCCTGTTTCTGTCTACTTCTTGGTGATTATTCCCTTGCTTCTGTTTTCTGGGTTGTGCTGGCTGGCGGAAGCCACCCCATCACTGATAACTGCCCTTCTCAGCCAGAACAGAGCGTAACACTCTGGGTACCAAGCCCTCAGAGCCAGCTCTTTGAGGACCAGCCCTCCTCCCCAGCCTGGAGCAACACTGTCCCCAACTTTCCCAACGGAGGAAAGTCATGAAGGAACATCCGAAGTTGGGCCTAGAGGCCACCAGCCCCACAGAAGCAAGAGAAGGTTGGAATCAACAGATTACGAGAATGTTTCAGCATTTGAACGGAACTACTAATAGGAGCGTGAGCAGGATTCGGGAACAAGCGGAGATACTATGAGTAGGTCCAGAGAAAGATTCTCAAGTGAAAGACAGAGGAACACTTCCAGAACTAAAAGATGCAGGCGAAGGTGGGGCACGAAGTGGGCGACATGCTCCGTGGTGAGCAGTGTCTACCGTGGTCCCGCACCCCCAAATACTGATCTAACGAGACATGATGGGGGGGTGCAGAAGCTGAATCCTCACCTGCCACCACATCACAAGATGGGAGCTCAGGCAGTAATGATAACTGTGTTCAGGAACACGGGAGTGCTTGCCTCTGCCGAACAGGCCTGGGGGAGGGGGCAGGAGTAGTAGGGCAAGGGAATCTGTTGTTGATTTAGACAGTGGTTATGGGTTAACTTCCGAAAATTATGGTCAGATCCTAACCCCTAAAACCTCAGAGTGTGACCGTATTTGGAAATAAGGTCATCAGATGTAGGGAGTTAAGAGGAGGTTAGACTTAATGCTGTTAATCCCGTATGACTGGTGTCCTTAGAAGAGGAGAGACACAGAGACCCTGGAGGAGCGCCATGTTAAGAAGGAAGATTACAGTCACGTGTCTGCAAAGCCAAGGGACAGCAAGGGTTGTTGGCACCACCAGAAGCTAGAAGAGGTGGGGAAGGTATATCCCTGACAGATTTCGGAGGGAGCGAGGCCCTGCCCGCGCCTCGACTTTGCTGTGCTAGCTCTAGGAAACTCACGGAGCACTTTCATACGTTTGCTTTTTAGAAACATTGTGCAGGTGTCATAAGATAACCTGGCTGACTTCCGATCACATCTGCCAGGCTTGGGATGTGGAGGGGAACTCACAGGTACACACACACAATGTCCTGGGCTACATACAGAGCTTCGTGGGCATGTCCACATATCTGGAAGGAGTGCACACCTTTCTCCTAGTCCCTCCACTTTCTCCTCGTGACCCAAATCCCTGACACGCAGAAGTGCATTTGGGAACATCTGTTGAAATGGTCCGGCTCAGCCAGCTATTTTCACAACTGGTCCACCTGGTCCTATGAGGATTCTGCCCCGGGGCCAGACGTCTGGATCACATTTGCTGGGATCCACGTAGCAGTCTGCGGGTACCACGGAGCATGGAGTGAGCTATGTGCAGCATGAAGGGCTCCATTCCAACCTGTAAAATACCTTGGATTTCCATTCTCAGCCCTCCTTCCAAGTCTGCAGGCAGCCTTGGGTCTTTGGCAACCCCTTCATCTAATTACCTAGTGACTCACTTCCTGATCTAAATGCCAGAAATCTTGATAATGAGCCTCATTTATAAAGTACTCTGGAATCTTCCAAGGGTGGTTGTTTTTTCCAACATCAAATATTTTTATCTTGTACCTGTATTTTCACCAACGAACCCAGCAATGCCCATGTGATGATTTTTCTTCTGGTGAACAGTGGAATCCCAAGATCAAGGAGAGCCCAATTTCATATGCAGGGAGCACTTTTTATTACTGGGGTGGTCTGAGGCCTCGCAAGAGCAGAAGCAGAATCCATCAGGTGTCTCTCTTTACGGAGCACGTCCTGAGTTCGTTTCCACGCTGGTCTGCAGAGGCCCCAGAGGGACAGGGCTCCAGCCCTCTAGAAGCGCGGTCGACTGAGGGAGGTGGGCTGACACGGTGACAGGGCAGCAGCACTGATGATGTGGCATGATGGGATGCATGCCCACTGACTGCTGCGCTCACTGTTGAAGCAGCCTTGGAGAAGCCGGGAGCTGGTCAGAGTGGGTGAGACAGGAGGTCAAGAGAGCACCTCACAGGCGGTGGCACAGGGTCCTGGGTGAGCAGGGCTATTTGTGGGGCCGCGTGGAACTTCAGGCGGGGGGACAGGGTGCGAGTTTGCACGTTGTGTGCCCTCCCGTCTCCCTTCAGACAACCCGCCCTGGGGGGGCTGATGACCCCCAGTGGGCACATCCTCTGACCCTCCACAGTGTCCATGCCATCCAAGCGGTGCTCCCAGCCACTGAACACAGCAGGGCCCTACAGCTAGGCCTCGGCTGCCTGGCATAGGGTCCTCCAGTGGCTCTCTCAGCAATGGGCTCCCCGTCAGGCTTGCCGCTATTAGGAGACCCCCTTCTACCTGGTCCTCCACTCCTGCCCTGGTGTCAGACTCCACTGCAGCCTGGCAGCACTCCTGCCCTGGCACCCTTCACAGACAGACCCTGCCAAAATCTCCCGCTAAGTCCACCCAGGCACCTTTCTTGGGGACCCTAGCTGACACAGGTGCCACGGCACCCTCAGAACGGAGGAAGCACACAGCCAGAGGCTTGATTTGGCAAGAAAGAGGAGCCAACGAGGGTGGGGGGAGAAATATGGCCAGTGTCTTTGTCCCACTTCGTGCCATGGGGGTACACACCACCATGAGGGGCTGAGCTTTGCCCAGCTTGCCCCTCAGCCAGCTCCGGCTCCACGTTCATCCACTTACCCAGTCTGGGGGACTCTGCCCCCAAAATGCCTCCCAGGCGTCCTCCACCTCCCTGCATGCTCCCACTCCTGCAGGCCATGCTCCTGCCCAGTTGGTCGGGACTGTGCCCCTCTTCTGGCAGGTCCAGCCTGGACCCTCTCTGGACTGCAGCTTCCCCACTGATGGCCTGGGGCAGTCGTCCCACCTGCTGGACGGTTTCTGGTAGTCACGAGGCCACAGCCACGTAGCCCCCAGGGCCAGGACAATTTTCCTCTATCTCCCCACCCTCTTCCCTCTTGGTCCTTGTGTGGGCTGCCTCCTCCTGCTTCCCCTCCACTCACTGTCCACGGGGCTCCCCTGTGCTCAGTGGCTCTGAGGATGAGCAGTATGAACAGTGACAGTGGCTCCCATGTCCTCGGCTTCTGGTGGGTTTGGCCAGTGGGGAGTCCCAGCGGGAGGGAGGAGCGGTCGGGGCACTGGTCCTGGCTCCCTCCCTGCACAGCCTGTCAGGTGCTCCCTCTCCCTGGCCCAGGTCCTCTCCTGAGTCCGTGTGGCTCCTGCTTTTGTGTGGCTAGCCCTAGGGCACTGCACCATTCCCCGGTCTCCCTCACCCTGCCCATGCCTCTGCAAACGTGCACTTTTATTCATCTCACCTTAAACTACTCAGTTTGAGGGCCAGGACGCTGACCCACAGAATTTGCTACATCGCTACCAGAATTAAGTTCTGAAAAATAAAGTTCACCTCACCACCTCCTTGCTTAAAAACCTCTTGCAGAACTCTGCTGCTTAAAAACCTCTTGCAGAACTCTGCTGCTTACAGGGCATGCAGCAACTCCTTAGGATGCTGTGGGCGGTGTCTCACAATCTAGCCCTGTCCTACCTCCCCATGCATCCTGTCCCCTCCACTGCCCACCCTACCTCCCCATGCATCCTGTCCCCTCCACTGCCCACCCTACTTCCCCATGCACCTGCCCTTCCACTGCCCAGCCTACCTCCCCATGCACCTGCCCCTCCACTGCTCACCCTACCTCCCCATGCACCTGCCCCTCCACTGCTCACCCTACCTCCCCATGCACCTGCCCCTCCACTGCTCACCCTACCTCCCCATGCATCCTGTCCCCTCCGCTGCCCACCCTACCTCCGCATGCACCTGCCCTCTCCATGGGCCACTCACACTGTGGTCCTCTGGTGCTCAGTGTGCCCTGAACAGTGGTGCCTTTGCATGACCTCGAGCCTTTGCTCACGGTATTTTCTCTGCTTGGAATGTGCATCTCCTGTTTTCTGCCTGACAGATCCCTATTTATCCTCTGAGGTCTTGCCCAAAAGCCACCTCCTCCCAGAAGCACTTCAGGCAGGGTTGTTTGCTTCTGTAGCTTATGCTCCAAGTGAGTGTGGCTCCACCCTCTGCCCAAACCATCGGTTCACACGCTGCCCTCTTCCCTCACACGGTCGCTGGGCCTGGGAGGGGGTCTGCTCCCATCAGCTGCTGACCCAGTGGGCTCCAGGACAAAGGCACGAAGTGGAAGAAGATGGGAGAGTCACAAAGGGAGCTGGGGAGTTTGGGGCATTAGCACGGTGCGCCAGCCTCGTGGTTTCTTAAACTTCTGATAAAACAGGGCTATTTCTTTCTGAAATGAAAATACAGACCCAGACCCTAAATAAAGCTTGGTGGGGTTCTCTGTGGCTTGAAACATCTGGGCCTCAGCTTCCTGCAGGTCTTAAGACGGCTGTAAGGTTTTCGAGGGTTTATGTATCCTTGTGTTTATAAGCTTCAGCGGCCTAACAGTTGACAGTATTTACTGTCTTTCCGGAACAGGTTCTGCCTTGTTTTTTGAACAGATGGCCGGATCGATTCCTTATTTTTAGAACACACCATGGGTGTGAAACAGCCTTTTGCTCTCTTGTTCCCAGGCTTGGAGGGGAGCGGCTAGACACAGCCAAGCGCCTGCAGGGGTGCGGGCTGCTGGTGTGCCTGAAGGACACTGTGTCCTTCCGCCCGGGGCCTCTGGAGCGAGGCGCTCTGTGCCCCATGCTCCACAGGGACAGTCAGACCGAGATGGGCGAGGAGGGGCACCGACGGAGGATGGCTTTGCTGCCATCCCTTGCAGGGCAAGTTGACGGGAGTCCCACCCCCACGTCCAAGTACAGGCGGGACCCTTCTTTAGCGAACACTGCTGGCTCCTGACCTGGCTCCCACCGGGCCCTCCCCCTTCCCCACAGAACCCCATCCTTCCTCCCGTTCCCTGGTACACGGGGGGACCTCCTGGATCTCAGGGTGATGGCCCGCACCCCTCTGGCCAGTCATGGGTTCTGGGTTTTGGACAGGTCAGGGGCATGTAAGGCGAGGGGGGGTGGGTGCTTGTGGGGAGGCTCCTCCCTTCCTTTCTGGAGTTTTCTGGAAGTGGCTCCCTCCTCAACCTGCTGGAGGTGAATGAAGAAGCATGGACTGAGGTGCTCCTGGCAGCCATCCTATGAGCAGGAGGAGAATCAGCTCTGGATGAGTCCACTAAGGCTGGCTGAGCAGAGCGATGGAGAGAGCCTGGCTTTTGGGTGGCATTGCTAGGTCCCTGGATCAATGAACCCTGAGGCCTCCCATCACTCTGGACTTCCAGAGCCAATATAGTTCCTTATTTTAAAAACATGTTTGACTTTGTCTGTCTATGTGTAAACTTCCAGGCAAAAGCATCCTAACAGATACAGCTTCTCAGACCACTGGTCCTCAGAAGCTTCCCCTCCCCTGTATTTTCTGTCTGTAACACTTATAGGGCCCTGGGCACATCGCCTTCTCTCTCCTCAACTAGCTCACAATGCCCTTGAGCAGAGAGGACCATTCACTCACGCACTCACCGTTTCATCCACCTCAGATTATTTAACTAAGCACATTTTGTTTTTTTTTTTCAAAAACAAGAGAGAAACGTCCCAAGTCAGGAAAGGGAAATGTTTCACACCTGCAAAGCACGGAACCATCGTAAGAGAAGGGATGGGACACCACGCTTCCTCGCGGCCCTTCAGGCAACAGGAATCTATCACCTGCACGCTGTGTTCCTCCTTCTCGACCTGCCCAGGGGCCAGGGTCCCGCACCCCTCTTCCCAGTGAGGGTAACTGTCATTACTAGAGTCCCCGTTCCACGTGTTTCCCCAGCCTTTCCTGTCAACCCTGGACATGAGTCTGCGGCCTCGGTTGAGCTGTTCCGCAACAGCTCCGAGCGGCCGAGGCACGGCGGCGCTGCAGTCCGCCGCGCGGCCGACCGTGAGAGCGCGAAGGCCGGCTCAGCCTGCAACAGGCTCTTGATGTCTTTTCTTGCAGGGCGACAATAAAACTCCAATAATTTTGGGCAGCTGTCCCTTGGTGCGCAGCCTCTTTCTGTTCTCTGTGGGTCTCTGACTCTGCGGCAAATATGTGAAACAATGCTGGGACACAAACGGGCCACTCCCTGGGGCAGAGCAGGGTTTTCTGACTGACCCCCTGGGTATCAGGGATCCTTTCCTCAGAAACGTGGGGTCCCATCACATGGCTCTGTCCCACTCGTATTGTCCCCCCGCACCGTGTCCTGTCTTCCCTCCCTCCCCGCTCTCCCCCTTGTGATGAATGGTGAAGACGTGTGTGTTGTGTGTGTGTGCGCGTGTGTGTGTGCGCGCGCGCGCGTAGATGCTGGCCCAGGTCTGTGACCACAGCGCTGGGGAGCCAAGCAGCCCATGAGTTGGCGCCCTGTTTTTATCAACTAAACCCTGGCTCTGCGAGGGTTTAGTTCTGCCCCTGGCTCTGCGAAAACTAGCGTAAGAGTCTTCGGGAGAATGTGACTAGAAGCTTCCCTCGAAGCCCGCTTTGGAACGGGCCCCGGAGTTTTGTCAGCGTGAGCAGCCCGCATGTGAAGCCGCGCACCGACGAGAACCACGCCCGGCCTGGGGGCGTGCGCGGAGCAGCCCCGGGAAGAGGGTCGCCTCCCCGCCGCTCCCGCCGCTGCCCCGCGGGCGGGGGTCCTCACCGCACAGCCTCCATCTGGTCCTTCTCCTCCAGGGAGCCCAGCCTCCGCCCCACTTCGTGCAGGAGCTTGGTTCCTTGGAAGCCACTGCCGCGGCCGTCGCACTTGACCACCACGGCTCCGTGGCTGCTCACCAGCACCGTCTCCCAGGTCACCTCGAACTTCTCGGCCACGCTCTGGCTCCCCGGGGCGCCGTCCCTGCAAAAGAGCCCCTGGCCTCGGCACGCTGCGCGCTGCGCGCGGCCGGTCTGACCGACGCCGGGGCCCGATGACGCCCAGGCTGCCGGCCGCGCCTCACCCCCGGCGCCGCACTGACACCGTGGAACCGGGCCGGCGCCGCAGACCGGCCGTCCGACATGGAGACCGGCGTGGGAGAGGCTCCCAAAGTCTCTGTCCCTCTGCTGGGGCCAGGATGAGCAGGGGAGGCCAGCCTCTCTCCCAGCAACAGCAACAGATGGCCAGGCCCCATTCCGAGAGCCAGCCAACTGAAGATGCACGGATCGTTCCTCCACGGAGGTGACAGTTACCACTGCCACCGCCATCTTGGCTTTCTGCCGGGGACCGAGGGCATGTGGGCAAGGAGTGTGTGTGTACGTGAGATGTGTGTGAGGGGTGCGTATGCAGGGGTGTGTGTGAGGTATGTGTAAGCAGTGTGTGTGTGAGGGGTGGTGAGGGGTGTGTGAAGGCTGTGTGTGAGGGGGGTGAGGGAGGGGTATGTGAAGTGTGTGCGAAGGGGGTGTGTGGAGGGGTATCTGTGAGGTGTGTGTGAGGGGTGTGTGTGGTGTGTCAGGTGTGTATGTGAGGTATGTGTGAGGGGTGTGTGTGAAGGGTATGTGTGTCGGGGTGTGTGAGTGATGGGTATGTGAAATGTGTGTCAGGGGTATGTGTGTGTAGGTGTATGTGAGGTGTGTGTGAAGGGTGCGTGTGTGAGGGGTATGTGTGTTGTGTGTGAGGGGTGTGTGTGTGTGATGGGTATGCGAGGAGTGTGTGTGAGGAGTGTGGGTGTGTGTGAGGGATGTATGTGCGAGGGGTGTGTGTGTGAGGGGTATGAGGGGTGTGTGTGGGTGTGAGGGCTGTGCGTGAGGGGTGTGTGTGAGGGGTGTGGGAGGGGTGTGTGTGAGTGGTGCCTGAGTGTATGAGGGGTGTGTGGGTGAGGTGTGGGTGAGGTATGTGTATGTGAGGGGTGTGTGTGAGGGGCGTATAAAGGTGTGTGTGTGAGGGGTGTGTGATGCGTATGTGAGGTATGTGTGCAAGGGGAGGGGTGTGTGTGGTTGTGAGGGGTGTGTGAGAGGTATGTGAGGTATGTGTGCAAGGGCTGTCTGTGTGTGAGGTATTGTGTGGGGGTGTGTATGAGTGTGTGAGGGGTGTGTGCGTGTGTGTGAGGGGTGTGTGAGAGGTATGTGAGGTATGTGTGCAAGGGCTGTCTGTGTGTGAGGTATTGTGTGGGGGTGTGTATGAGTGTGTGAGGGGTGTGTGCGAAGGGTGTGTGTGTGTGTGTGAGGGGTGTCTGTGAGTGTGTGAGGGGTGTCTGTGTGAGGGGGTGTGTATGAGTGTGTGAGGGGTGTGTGTGAGGCACGTGTATGGTTGCTGGCAAAGTGCTAAACCCGTCCAGATAGTGAGGAAAGTGGGTTAATTGCAAAATGGAATCCGATATTGGGATCTAAGCCAGGGGCAGCTCTATAATGAAGTCTTTCCATTGCTGGGGACTAAGCGCCCAGGACGGGAGCCGGGCGACAGGGGCAGGGTTCATCAGGTCATTTGATATTGACTCAGGTGGGTGGTCTCGCTGGCCTTCCTAAAACAACTCCGGCACAGGCCGCTGCTCTATCCGGACCTCTTTCAAGTAAACGTGAGGGGTGGCTCCCTGAGAGGCAACGAGAGAGCTCAGAATTTTCCTCATGTTCCACGGCCTTGAAAGAACACACGTGGAGGTGAAGGGAATATGTGTTAAATCTCTGGGTGGTGTCTGCCTCTACAAACACTTCCGTGGGCCCAGCGTGCCCGCATTAACCCTCCACGCCTGCCTCCGCCTCTTGAGGGACCCGTGCTCTGGGTGGGCCTCAGCGCCCTGCCCGGCCCGGGGCCGTCTGCCTTCCCAGGTCAGCTTTCCCGTCCGTTGCTGAGCCTGTTCACCAGCCACGGTAGCGCCACCCACCCAGTAAGACCTGCCTCAGGTCTCGAGGTACAAGTAGACTGGGGAGGGGTACAGCCCACTTGCTTTCACGGCGGCCTCACCGACAGTTACGAGCAGAGCCTGCCACCTGCTGGCAGCCTAACCTGTCTTCGGTTCTAGTTTGCAACCTCCTTTCTCACGCTTGTCTTTTTCTTGAGTTCAATGCTTTCCATGGTGTCACCGAGTCCCCAGGCAAGCACCCCGAGAAAGAAAGAGGCGACAATACTCACACCACCAGGAGCAAGGGGTAGTGGGCCGTGTCGGTGAAGGTGGCTGGCTTGAGGATCTGAATGGGCAAGTCTAGGCAGAAACAGACACAGGGCAGCACGTTAGGGGGCAACCTGGACCAGGAAGGAAGGCCATGGAGTCCCAGCGGTCCGACGCGCTCCTGGAGGCATGGGAGAAGGACACTCTGGAGGGGGCTCCATGGGCCCCCCCCCACACCCCCGGGGCTGGCCCTGATTTTTGTCTTAGTGACTCCGGCCAGCTGAGTGACCTTAGGGAAATCACCCGACCATCTCCAGGCTGAGTTTCTCCATCTGAGGCTTAAATTCAATCTTGCAAACAGTGTGTTGAAAACCAGAAGAGCCTGGAAGGCCGTAAACACTTGTTGACAGCCGAATTCCAGGCTGGGGGAAATGAGACCCCAAGGGTGGCATGTGTCTCTGCCAACAGCGTTGCCGCCACACGCAGTTTAGGGGGGACAGACCTCGGGGAGCCGTGGGGATGGGGTGAGCCGGGACGCGGGTGGCAGCCCAGCGGGAGAGGCTGAGAGCCGGGAGCCTCCGGGCGCAGCCAGGGCCTCTGCCGGCCTCGCTGTGCGCGGGTCGGTGCGGGCCGGTGGGACAGCGGGAGGGGAGGGGCTGCGGCACCAGCTCTTTCTGATCTTGTCCTGGGCAGCAGGGACCCGGTGCGGGAGGCAGGGGCTCCCATGCCGGTTTCTTCTGTCCCCTTCCCCCCAAACAAACCTCCTCGCCCAACTTAGAAATTGTTTATTGACGGTAACTACAACCCAGATTAGCAATTAAATTGGAATCAGTAGCTTTTTCAGTACAATTACTGCACATACACCCCAGGCTGGGGTGCTGGGCTCAGCAGCCGGCTCTGACCAGGCTCTCATCACTGATTCTGGTTGAATGTTAATGGCTTGCAAATTGGATCAATGGCCCAGGGACTGGCAGAAAAGCAGGCGTGGGACTTTATCACTGCAATATCCATAAAACACGGTCTGGCTGCTCTCTGCTGCCGATAAGCCCACGGGCAGATCTCGGCCACGACGGGCTGCATACGGGGCCGGGAGCCCTTCCTGGAGACGGACTGCTTCCGGAAGGAAAGCCTGAGCCTCTGGGGACATTAAATGAAAAAAGCAAAACATAACAAGACAGGTGGGTAGGAACACATCTTGCAGATTGTTTGTGGCCCCAAAGGGGTGACATTCGGCTGCTAGTCCTCGCACACACCTGCTTTCCTAGCACCTGCATGCCCAGCCACCTACCAAGGAAACCTCACACGGGAAGGAAACCTTATGCGGCAAGGGTGGGAAAGTTGATTATTTGTTTCTAAAGGTCTTTGCATTTTTGGAGGCGGGGACGGTGCTAGGATTCGGGAAACTATTGTGACAGAGTGTGGACCGGCTTGAAGGAAGAGGGCACTGGGCCCAGGAGATGAGAGACAATCTTGCAAAGAATATGATCTGGCCTCATCGGCTGTGGTGGGAGCCAACGGACGTGGGAAAATGTGAGGGAGCTTTCGGGAAAACACGCTGCCAGGAATGGGGGTGGGGCAGGAAATGAAGTCTGGCCACGGAGGGCCACCAGGCCTACGCACACCTGTGACCTGTGCAAGGGCCCTATGCTGGGCGGTCGTAATGAGCCAGGAATGAAGAGCCCCGAGTGTTCATGTTGCACTGGGCCCTGCAAATTTCGGAACCTGTCTTGAGGTCTGTAGACAGAGCTGGAAGGTAGAGGGGGTCGGGAAAATGTGTGGAAATTGCGTGCTTGTTTATTCGGCCGCCCTACTCTCCTTCTGCCCTCCCCTCCCCCCATCCATCATCCGTCCACTATCAATTTAAAATCATCTTGCTTTCTTGCCTTTTGGTTCTTCCTTAAAGAAGAAAATGGCACAAATGTGCAGTTCCTTTAAGGGTTCTCATGAATTTGAGTCTCTGCTCTGAGTAAGTGGACGCCAGGGTCTCTGTGGAGGACTGTACCCAGTCCAGCAGGCCATCCGAGTGGGCTGGCCGGATTTTCCTCTGACCTAGTTCTCTGACCTGCCCTCTCTGTGGGGCACCCCCGAACGGCCCAGCGTGGCTCTCTTCATGGAGCAACAGGGATGGGGGTGGGATTTCCGACAAACAAGCCGTGACTCGGAGCTGCCGTCACCCCCCAGTGAGGGTTAGCTCAAGAGGGGAGACCTGTTTGCCAACCTCAGAGGTGATGGGGGAATGGACCTGAAGGCTGGAGCCTGCATTATTTGAGAAGGGTGCCATCCCCCAAAGTACGGAAGTCTGGAGGGGTACAGAGCGAAAGACAGGGAGACGTATTTGGGGTTTTTGCACATGGGGCTTCCAAGGGTAGACCTGTGGCGGGCCGTGAGGATGCCAGGTGGGCTGGGCTGACTGGGGAGCTATCTGCAGAGGGGGATTGAGGCTAGGAGGACTCTGCTTCCCTCCTGGAGACAGGAGTCCACTCGTAGCCAGTGCTCTGGCATCCAGCACAGCATCAGCGCTCATAAAAGCTCACTGGACGGGGGAATGGACAGCTCAAGACAAAGAGGCGCACAAAGACGGGCAGAGCGCTGGGAGCGTCTCAGGTCATGTCAGCATGCCGTCCTTCACTGTAGTACCTCTCTAGTTGCAAGGACGCCTCCTCTGCCCATAATCAGCACCGAGAGCTTAGACAATGGAGGAGAAAATATCAGATGGAACAGAAGAGAAATTTCCAGAGGGGGGATGTTTCCTCTGGATGGTGTCATGACATGTTCCCCCCAAAGGAGAGAAGTTTGGTCTGGGACCTTATTTAACTGTCAGCCTCTTGAGGAGAGAAATCCATGTTCCACTTTTTTTTTGGTCTGTTGCCGGAGGAGTGTCTTGGTTCCGAGCACAACAGGCTCAGTGCAGGGTGCTTTCCCCCATGAGCCCCGCCCGAATCTCCACCTCGCAGGTTGGATGCCTTTCCAGCCATGAGGCCGGGGAGTGGGGTGCTGTGGGGGAGCCTCGGGGCACAGCAATCCCCTGCTGGCGGCCGGGCTGTCCGTTCCAGGGGGACAACGCAGCACTTACTGTAATCGTCAACCTCGATCTTCCTGTATTCTACTTTAGGCATCTGTCGGTCTTGTACGGCCTTCTGCACGTGCTCATTTGTTTCTAGATCAAACATTTCTAAGAGAGAGAAAAATGACACATTCAGCCTCAGCGATCACTTACTGAAGCCGCTGGCTTTCATGTGGGTCAGACTGCTAATTCCTATGTCAGGCCCGGAGGTGATGATTGTTATTTCTTTTGCACAGACCAGGAAACTGAGACAAGGTGGAATGCCCCGTCTCAAGTCAGGAGCATGGGCAGATGGAGGGTTCTTTCCATCGTATTAGGTAACTCCTCTACCGCCCATAGATTGTCCTTCCCCATGGCATTTCTCACCCACACGTACAGGCCTGGGTATTTTTTTTTTTTTTTTAAGATTTTATTTATTTATTTGAGAGAGAGAGAGAGAGAGAGAGCGCGCGTGCACAAGCAGGGGAAGGGGCAGAGGAGGAGGGAGAAGGAGAAGCAGGCTCCCCACTGAGAAGGGAGCCTGACATGGTGCTTGATCCTAGGAACCCAGGATCATTACCTGAGCCGAAGGCAGACAGTTAAATGACCGAGCCACCCAGATGTCCCGGTCCGGGGTTGTTTTATCCACAAACTGCTGGTTTCAGAAAACCAACATCACCTATCTGTTAGGACAGATGATTTTCCAAATATAGTGGCCACAATAACCAAAGAAGAAAAGGAGAGTAGAACCTGGAGTGCGCTCTTTATTAAAATTTTACAGGAAAAATGGATTCGGATCTTTTACCCTACTCAATGTGGTCTGGCTTAGGACACCTTAATTAGGATGATCATATCAGCTGGCCCTAAAGCCACGTGGGCCACAGGATACAGTGCAGTGGGACTGGCCCTTTTCCCTCCAAATTAGAGAGGCGGGTCAATCTTGCACTGGCCCCTCACTTGCACATGCGCCCAGTGGGTGTTTCTCCAGGTGCGCGGATGCCCCTCATCAGCCCACTTCACCGATTTCCTGCGGAAAAGGCCGTTCCTCCGCCTTCACCATCTGCTCTATAATAAAAACCACCCGACTTCCTTCTTCCTTTCTCACTTTGAGGCTACACGTGGGGACACCTTGTGGCCCGTTACGAAAGGAAATTTTGTCTTCAAGGAGCTCCATCTCTGGCTCCTCCCAATAGCTTTGAAACATTAGTGACTATTTCACCGAATAAACTCACAGCACGAGCAGCACCACAAGGAACGGTGAACTGTCCCCATAACAACTCCGTAAGAAAAACAGACCCCAACTGACTCCACAACGGCCCCTGGAGGCCAAATATGGCCCAGAACCAGGAGTCTCTGGCACTGAGTGGTTTTATCTGTGAAGGGCACGCGGCCACCAGTGGTGCTCAGGGATCCGAGGGACTGCCTACGAGCAGGGCTGGCAAACTCCCACGGCTACCCATGGACAGGGACAGTTCCAGAACTGTGATGAGCAAACAGACAAAACCAAAAATGTTTTACAAGTTGCTGGACACATTTGAAAATTGAGCTTTGATGAAAAGGTGAGGGGAGGGGGCGATGGTAACGCTCATTTTCAAATAGGGAGAGTTAAAAACAAAAAAACCTTAAGCTAGACCAACACCACGGAAGATTGTGACCACCACGTGGCAGGCAAGAAATGGTGTCCTTTGTAGACAGTGGGACGGGACACTGCATCTGCAAGGGATGTACACAGAGGTCCAGGTAGATGACCTCAACTCTGAGACCCAGACATGTGGCCGAGAGATGGCACACTCTACCTCGTGGTCACGCACACAAGTTGGGGCAGGGGCACTGCCCCAGGGTGGCGGGTGTGCCCCACGGCCTGCCCCAAACCCCCACCCGGACTCCTCAGAGAGCCCACACAGCACTCATTTTTGCTGAGTCTAAATACCCTCATCCCAGGCTGCCCAGGTGGCTGTCGGTTGAGCATCCAACTCTTGACTTTGGCTCAGGTCATGACCTCAAGGTCATGAGATCGATCCCCACATCCAGCTCTGTGCTAGGTGTGGAGTCTGCTTAAGATTCTCTCTCTCCCTCTCCCTGCACCTCCCACCCTGCTCTTTCTCTAAAATAATAAATAAATCTTAAAAAAAAAATAAGTGCGCTCAGCCCTTTAACAGTGTTGTGGGCATGCACGGTCAGGAGTTGGTTTCTGAGATAGGAATTATTTCTTATTTGTGTTCTCATCACAATGGTAGGGCAGGAAGTCTAGAAAGCAGCTCTGCAGAATAAGGAGGAAAATAGCATTTTTCTAATTCTTTACTGCCACAGGACCTCGACACTCACTATTCCCCATGACTGGAACTTTCTTTGCTGGCGCCTTCTCCAACAGGCCAAACATCACATCTGCAAGTAGAAGCCCATCTTGGATACCCCTCTTAACACCAACTGCTAAGAGTTGTGGTCATTTGCCTGACTGCCTTTCCCTGCCCTCCAGCTCCCAAGGCATCAGCACTCGGTCCCATCCCAGAGACAAACCATATGAGGTTCCAGTCACCTGAGTACACGTGGAAATCCAATCCATTCTCCAGAAATGATGCATCTACACTGGAGCTGAGCCTGGGTTCCCACCCAGGTCTTTCCCCCAGTTCCCACATGGCCCCTTTTCCATAGCCCCAAGACGGTCTCCACTGGACAGGAAGCTGGGAGGGCCCGGGAGTCCTCCCGGGTGCTTCGGAAGCCTGGGGGCTCTCCGGGGTTCCCAGTGTTTCAGGCCTCTTGAGTAATAAAAGTTGATGCAATCAAAGCCTCCCAACCACTGCTCCCCACATAAAACCACACACAACGGGACCAAAGCACACTTCCATTACACTGATTGGAAAGCTTCCAGTACTTGAAGGACTCGTGACAAATGCAAGTTAATACTGAGTTAATGCCCAGATCAGGATGCAATTCACTGACTCTGCCCAGACCTGTGCTCACTGTGGGACCCAGTGCTCAGATCTTCGGGGGTCATCAGGGAGCCTGCCATCTTTCCTTTCCTGTGTGCCCACGCAGTGAGCCTAGGTGGAGACCAGTAAGGGACCAGGCAGTGTGCACATGTGGGTCAAGCTGGATGAGGGGAATTAGCAGGCACTAAGGGGGACAAAGGTGGCCCACTGCTACCAAAAGGCAGCACCACGCTCCTGGGGTGCAGGCGACAGCCTACCCTGGGGAAGTCTGCTGGTGGCGAGGCCAGCCTGGAGCACTGGCTTTCAAAACGAAAGAGAGCCTACAGAGCCTCTCACAGGTTATGATACGCTCCTCTCTCCGTGTGTATGCGTTTGGATCCGGTACTTCTGACATCACTCAGCAATCTCTAACGCTGATCCTGAAGGAGAAATTTCACACGTAGGTTGCAGCATTGCTTTGCTGCCCACCGAGTTCAGCTTGCCTGGAGTCACCGAGAATACACGCTCGCCCCCCAGAACAGCCCTCCCACTCCCGGACCCCGGAGCTCCGGCTTCGAGCGGGAGCACACAATATCCTAACAGACCCTACAGACTGCGTTTGAATAGCTCGCCTCTGTACTGAAATCCCACCCTTCACAGAGGCACCAAAGCAACAGACTATTAAATTTAGTTAAATATTAGATTTCCCATTTAATGATTGCCCACAGAACTGGTTTTATCAGCAGAGAGCTGGCTGGCCCACAGGGGAGTTGAGTTAAGCCATTTTATTTGTTCCCATAATTGCATTCAAAGGAGGCAGGAGCTCAGCAGAGGAAATAAGAGAAGATTGGCACGTTCCCGAAGGACTCTTCTTTTGACTTCATGGCCACAGGGACCTCCAGTCTGGAGCACACAAATGGCCACTCCTTAATTAAATGTGAGCCCGCTCTAATGTTTGGTGGAATTAGCTATTATCAGATCTGGACACAGTGAGACTGCAGGAAGCATTTGCTCGGGGGGCTGCCTCCCTGGCTGTGCCCCAGTGGGCGGATGCGCCGTGGCCCTCGGGCTGCTCCCGCGCCCTGCTGGGTCACGGCATTGCTGGAAGCCCCACTTAGCTGCACTTGGGGAAATGCGACCAGAATCTAACAAGCCGACGGGCCACTGACCTAAAGAGCACAAGAGCCGCCGGCCGCCCTTCTTAGGTTTTTCCGCGGGAAGCAGAGGTGCAGGAGTACGTGCGCACAGAGATCACCTCCTGTTGTGTGGTCTCCTCGCCCCACCTGCGTGTCCGCGCCTCTCACAGTCTAGGCCCCTCCGGGCACGCTGCCCATTGCTTCCTCCTGTGCACCTGTCCCCAAGGTGTGGGACCCCCCACCCGCCGCCCCAGAGCTGTGCGGCTCCGGTCAGTGCAGGCCAACGCCGGCGCGGACGCGGGACGCCCCGCCTCACCTGCAGAGCTCCTTCCTCTGAACACCGAACGTCTGGTCGTTAGAGTCAGTGTCACACAGTCGGGTAATCATTGTCCTTGTTGCTAGATCTACTTTTGTCTTCGGCAGGATTTTAAGAAACTTGAAGGCAGGGTCCCTATAAGTGAATGGACCTTTGGCCCCTCACAGCCACTGGCTTCATGCCAGGCAGGTGAAGGGGTTTAGTCAGGAGGGGCCGTGTGTCAACTGGGCTGATGTGGCCCTCTCCCCACAACTAACTACACTATCATTAGTCTGGGCTGCGTGGTGGTGGGGCGGCGGCAAGCTTCGAGGGCGACAGGCGGGATGCCAAGGCAGGTAGCCTGCCGGCTGGAAGGTGCACAGCGCTTTGCTCTCTCTGGGAGCCACATGCACGCACACGGTCTACCAGGATCTGCAGACTGGATCACTCCATCCCTCCACAGAGGCCGCCTGTGTGTGGAGCCCTGGAGATCCAGAAGACTTTCCAGATACACAAACAACTGAGGGTTTGATGGAACGGGTCACTCCATGCTTGGGGACGTCTCCTGGACTCTCTGACTACCGTCTCCCCTCCGACCCGCATGCACGGCCGACGGAAGAGGCGGGGGTCCATGGGCGGGGGCGGCTCCAGGCAGCAGGACCCTGTGAGCAAAGGCCCGGGCGCCAAGCAGCTCACGTCTCAAGAAAGGATTGCCTTGATGTCAACTGCAGTGAGTTGGTTTTGCATCTTTATAAAAGCCCATGTGAAGACGACGGAATCCTGTCCTGG